GATTCTTCCTCTCGGCTACTCCATTTTGTTGAGGTGAGTATGGAGCCGAGAACTCATGCTTGATGCCTTCTTCATCAAGGAAACTCTCGATGCACGTGTTCTTGAATTCCTTGACGTTGTCGCTTCGAATGTTCTTGATCTTGAGGTCGAACTCGTTTTGGGCTCTTCTTGCAAACTTCTTGAAGATGGCTTGTGTCTCACTCTTGTCATGCAAGAAGAACACCCACGTGAAGCATGAAAAGTCATCAACAATAACAAGACCATATTTGTTACCTCCAATGCTTAGATAAGCAATTGGCCCGAAGAGGTCCATGTGAAGAAGCTCCAACGGTCTTGTAGTAGTCATTACGTTCTTGACTGGGTGATGTGCTCCAATTTGTTTCCCGGCTTGACATGCACTACACACCCTATCTTTCTCAAATTGAATATTTGTTAGTCCAAGGATGTGTCGTGCTTTAGAAGTTTGTGAAGATTCCTCATACCAACATGGGCTAGCCTCCGATGCCAAAGCCATCCCATGTTGGACTTAGCCACTAAGCATGTGTCATGTTTGGCTTTAGTTGAGGAAAAATCCACAAGATAAAACTTTCCCTTGAGAACACCCTTAAAGACTACCGAGAAATCATCCCTTCTAAATATGGTCACATCAACATCGGTAAAAAGACAATTGAATCCCATGGAACATAATTGAGAAACGGACAATAGATTGTAATTTAGAGATTTTACCAAGAGGGCGTTGGAAATGGAAAGGTCATTTGAAATTGCAATCTTACCCAATCCAATTACCTTTCCCTTTCCATCGTCCCCAAAGATGATGTTCTCTTGAGAAGTGCCATTTGGATCAAGAGATGAAAACATTGATTCTTCTCCGGTCATATGATTAGTACAACCACTATCAATCACCCAACTTCTTCCACCGGAGACATATTCCTACAAGAGATCAATTTCTAGTTTTAGGTACCCATACTTGCTTGGGTCCTCTCATGTTAGTAACAAGTGCCTTAGGCACCCAAAGCACTCTCTTGATAGAAATATTTTTACCCCTTGGGCCAACATACTTAGCAACAACGCGACCACTAGCGTTCTTCCTAAGAACATAAGATGCATCAAAACAATGAGAAGCATTATCATTAGGAAGGATACATTTGGCCTTAACAAAGTTGCTAAGACATTGGGGCTTCTTGATCATCACACTCTTGTCCACCCTTCCTTTAGGTGGAGGAACATACCCAAGACCTTCATGGTTGAAGTTGTCCCTTTGATAGCCTAGGTACTCCTTTAGGGCCTTACTACCCATATGGCACTTAAGTAAGCCATTATGAAGGAGTCCCATAAGCTTCTCGTTTTGCTTTTGCAAAGCACTCAAAGAAGTAGAGTTAGTAGCACAAGTTTCAATATCAATATCTTTGCACCTCACACATGGTTCATTGCTTGGGACAATTTTGGAGCACGATGCCTCGCTAGGGAAAGAGACACTATTCTTTAAGGTTTCGAACTTCTCTTCAAGAGAGAGGTAAGCTTTGTCCAAGTCATCCACTCTCTCTTGAAGTTGAGCGTTCGCCACCTCAAGATTAGCATGAGACTCTTTGGTTTGCTTGTAAAGCCGTACCAAAGCCTCATTTTTCTCTCTCTCCTTAGCAAGTTCACTCTTGAGTTCATGAGACCGCTCTTTCTCACGAATGAGCAATTCCTCTTGCCTCTCAAGAGTTGCATATTGATTCTCAATTCTCCTAAGCAACTCACTCAAGTGTGGTATGGATTCCTTGGCTATGGATTTGAACAACTCGTCATCCATAACCTCATCCTCAACATCTTCCTCCAAATCACTAACAAGATCAACATTAAATGACTTGAGGGGAGAGGGTACCTTAGGCTCCTTTGCCATGAGGCAAATGGGAGCATCCTCATCACTTGAGTAGTTGAAGAGTCTCGGTGGTGATGAAGGCTTGACGGCGAACGTGGCAACTCCTTCTTCATCACTTGAGCTTGACTCGGAGTCGGAGCCGAAGATCATCCCAAGGTGAGCTTGGCCATAGCGATCATGCTTGCTATGCTTGTGCTTCTCCTTCTTCTCAAGCTTCTTCTTGTCTTCCTTGAAGTGGAGGCAATCCTTGATGTGGGGGCAATCCGTAATGAAGTGCCCGGGCTCTTTGCACACATAGCACACCCTTGCGGAGCGTCTTCCACTTGACTTGTTGGAGGAATGCTTGGACGAACTTCCCTTGAAGAAGCCGCTTTGCTTCATGAACTTGCCGAACTTCTTGACGAAGAGAGCCATCTCTTCATCATCGATCTCCGCCTTGCTCTTGCTCTTGCGACTCTCTTCTTCTTCTTCCTTCGCCTTCAATGCCAAGTCTTCCTTCTTGATGCTTGTGGTTGAGGTTTGGTTGATGTATTGGATGACCTCCTTGGACTCTTGCTCGAGCATGTTATGGGCAAGGATACGTCCGAGCAAGTCATGAGGTGTGAGAGTCTTATAGTCCGGACGCTCACGAATGATGGTCACCAAGGTAGAGTTCCTTGGAGTGATTGCTCGAACCATCTTCTTGACCACAACCTCATCGGTCATGTCCTTGGAGCCAAGTCCCTTGATCTCATTAACGATCTTGCTCAATCAATCATACATGTCGCTTGGGCTCTCACCATCCAACATCACAAACCGCTCAAATTGCCCCTTGAGAATCTCCACCTTGGACTCGCGAACACTATCCGTGCCTTCATGCAAATTCCGAAGCGTGTCCCAAATCACTTTGGCACTCTCAATGCCGTCCACACGGTTGAACTCGCTTCCACTCAAGGCGCTAAGAATTGCATTAGCGGCTTGAGCGTTCTTGTGCTCGTTCTCATCGTCCTCCTTGGTGGGTTCCTCGGGATTCTGTAAAACATAGCCTTTTTCGACTATTCTCCAAATCAAAGGGTTAATAGATTTCAAATGCATCTTCATCTTATGTTTCGAAGCGGCATAGTCCGTACCATTGAAGTACGGAGCTTTGCCGCTATAGGTGCTCACATAAGATATAGATGTGGAGAGATAATCATAAGGAAACGTACCTCCCTTATCACCATCCTTGCCATTCCCCGTTTGACCCGACATGATCTCTCCAAGCGATTAAGCCTAATTACGAGATTAGGCTCTCATACCAATTGAAAGGGTCAATTAGGCCTAGAGAGGGGTGAATAGGCTAATTTAAAACTTTATGCGGAAGCTAAAACTGAAATAAGGTCGGAAAGTCTGATCCACAGTCAGACTATCCGAAAATATCAGATAGTCTGAAGTTGGATCAGACTGTCTGATCCACCAATGAAGCACAACAAGTAGATCTATCACACAAACAAGAGTAAAGCACAAACAGCGACTAGATCTATAGCGACACAATTAAGCAAAGCTAAAAGGAGGATGAAGGGAGATTACCAATGATGAAGTTCACGAAGTTGTTCCCGGAGTTCAAATCCTTGAGGGGATTCTACTCTCCGTTGAGGAGCTCACTAAGAGCCGGGTCTTTGCTAACCCTTTCCTCAAGAGGTTGCACTAAGCACTCCTCCTTCCACTAAGGGGTATCTCTTTCCTTGCGGAGGCGAGATCCGGCCTTCACAAACTTCTCTCGGCCAACCACACGTAGATCGGTGGCTCAGGAGTGACACCTAGCCGTCTAGGAGTCCTCAACCTCCAAGAGTAACAAACACCACACAACTCTTGGTCAAACCCTAGTGCTCAAGATCGAGTGAAACACACACTAGGCCCTCAAACACCAAATCCACAACCACCAAGATCCACCACACAAAGAACAAGAAGGGATTTGAGAGAGGGAGAGAGCTCAAAGATCCAAAGCACCTTAGCACCAAGCTCAACCCAAAGTGAATGAGAATGAAATGAGTTGGGTAACCCTAGAAAAGGGTTAGGTGGGGGGTATTTATAGACCCCCCAAAAATGTGGCCGTTGGAGGGGAATCTTTCAGCCCACGTCGGATAGTCCGATACAAGATCGGATAGTCCGATATTTTAAACCTCCAAGGCAACGAGAAACAGAGAACGAAGTTCCATGAAATTTCGAATTTTCCGAGACACTATCTGATGTTAAATCGGAGTATCTGATATTTTAGAAGCAAAAACTTCGTCCTCAAACAGAGACTCAAGTTCTATGAAATTTCGGAGTCTCTATATTATCGGACTATCTGATCCGACATTGGATACTCCGATACTTAGAAAAACTCACCCGATAGGATTTTTTTAAATCAAGACAGAGAGTGAAGTTCTGTGAAAAATCGGATAGTCCGATACATCGGATAGTCTGATTTCAAATTGGATAGTCTGATGTTGCTCAAGTAAAACTGCAATAACTTTTTACTCCAAACTCCGATTTCGAAGATCTTGGACTCTATGGAAAGCTAGTTTCGTGGGCTATCAAACCCAACATAAAACATGGTCCAAAACCTTCAAGAGATGTTGAAAAACTTGCAAAGAAACCCGGTGTAAGTGTTGTGACAAGTGAAACAACTCGGGATTGAAATTTTGACTTAGGTTTTTCAACTCACACAAAGATAACATGGTCCAAAACCTTCAAGAGATGTTGAAAAACTTGCAAAGAAACCCGGTGTAAGTGTTGTGACAAGTGAAACAACTCGGGATTGAAATTTTGACTTAGGTTTTTCAACTCACACAAAGATGAAGCATTTTGAGCACTAGTATTCTACCAATAATATGCATGTGGTTTCCCTCTTAATAGTACGACATTCCGACGACACAATGTAAGGTAAAAGATACAATATACCATTTGATCATTGCCACATTGCATCGTGATGTCGCATTCATGGAGTATGCATCTCATTACAACATGTCGAGGACATAACAACCTTCACATTTGCTTGAATAAAAGTGTTAGTCCTCTCTAATCGCATTGTAATCAATCATCAAAATTATTAGGGGCCTAGATGCACTTTCAGAGTTCAAGGGGCTTCAAACTTTTACAACTCACGTATCATCAGGGAGACAACACAAACACGTCCGAAAACTGGGATATTTATACTATTTCAAAACTGGCGAGCAGTTAAACCGAGATAATCTTTACACACTTCAAAACTGACAAATAATAATACTACTTATCACCACAACAGAGAAAGGGGAAAGGAGAGAATGATGCAAAAAAAAAAAAGGGTAAACCATATATGATACTTGGCACGCTTTGATACCACCAAACAATTGCGATAAGCTATAGCTTCTCCATATGACACCCACTCTGTTCTGAAGATGGCTTTGCCACGACACAGAGCAAGACGCATATGAAACAGCGTGTGGTAGGCTCTACAGCTGCATGCGGACTGTATAAGACGGCCTCCGACGCAAAAATGCCGTTTCACAAATTCATGGAGCTCAACGTAGGAAACACCTCCCTTCAGGTCTGAAATACGGATAAAAAAACGGTTAGCTGCCATATGCTTTTTTTCTTCTTTTTTTTACATTTTCATCAGAACAGTGCCCATAGCTACAAAATGAAATTAACTTGGCATGGAAAATTAATGTGCATTCATACCGAGGTATGTTACATGCTACTCCCTCCGTTCCATATTGATTATGAGAAAGCAGAAATTCTAAATTCTAAATTGACCAGCACATAACCCTGGCTTTTGGGGTACTAAAGAACCCGTTTCTTATACATACAGGAGTTAAAGTCTACATTTTTCTTGATTTTCTTTCTCCACCACATACTCATTAAATAAAATACAAGTTAAGCCTTCCTACGGAAGGGAGGGAGTATAAAGCAACACCAAAGATAATGTGGGTGAAAAACCGATTCTCATCGATACAGACGTGGTTTACATTTTACACAGACTTCTTAATCTTAAAAATGAGCAGACCACACTTCGCAAGTATTATATAAACAGAGACTAGAAAACTGAGTCAACCCTGTGGACTGTAGCCAAGTTCACAGGTTGGCAGTTCGAATACATCAGATAAATAGAACTAGATTGACTTTGCATTCCTATTTCAGTGACAGGGATCCTATTTGAATTATTTGCAAAAGTTTTAATATGTGGTAAAAGAAGTCTACCAGGCTGTTGCCTCCTACAGGATCAAAGTGTTTTAAGGGCAAAAATTGTAGCACATCATTATTTGATATATGACTAAGAAAAGGCCACAAGATACATCCAAGAGCGACATAGAATACTTAAAGATTTCCCCCACATAGAAACCATAGAACACATAATGAACAAACAACGAAAAAAAACAAGGCAAACCTGTTATGTCGAAGAAGGTAATAATATTCTCAGTTGCTATCCATTAAACTTTATCAGCACTGTCAGGCTCATCAGGAACGTGTCGCTTCCGATAATGGAAATAAAGAAACTGAAGAATAATCTGTGATAGATGGTCAAGGGTATCTACAAACGGTACAATAGCTCCCAAAACTCCAATAGACCTTCCAAAAAGGAACATCCAATGCAGAATAATGCAGTTCTCTAGATGCAAAGGAAGCAACAAGTCAACTTTTTATTGGAATATATGCATGTATGGAGGGAGAGAGATGCAGATGAATCTAAAGCACTGCGAAAAAGAATAACTGATATGGCAGTATGGTGCACAATAGTCTTTAGTTAAATTCCAAGGACCAGTCATTTTATCTTGAAAAATTGTTAAGCATCAGACATACCCTTCTCAGTTACATATGAGTTCAGATCTAGGATGTGCATAAATTCCTGCCTTCGGGTTCAGTGAAAGAACATAAAGCAAGTAGGAAGTATTGGCTCTAAAAGTAAAAAGCTTGCAAAAGGATACAAAAGTATCAAGCAAAACACATCCTCCAGCATCTACAAGCCACGGTAGATTCGGCTTAAGTTTTGACCAATCCATGCTTTTCACAAGTATACTGCATTGGAAAACAAGAAACGTGATAACAGTAAAAGTCCATTTTAAAATTGCGTGCACCTTATATATGTTATACGGGCAATCAACAGGTCATAATAACTAAATCTAGATAAAGTTAACTTCATATATTACCTTCCAACGTATGTCACATTTCCCACTAATGCAAAAGTAAACATTAGTGGATTGAGTCCCTGAATGAAATTAGAAGTCAAAAGGAGTTACACAATAGAAGGGAAAACATTTGCAAACAAACAAAAATAGTAGTTAGTTGAGTAGATGCAACAAAGCGATCTATTTGTCTTAACCAAATATAAAGAATAGAAAATTGAAATCGGTCTCCTCAGTAAAAATGGCGATGAACTTGCCTCAGCATTCCCTCTTTTCATCTGCAAAGTAGAGACATGTCAGACATATCATTAAAATTGCACTGCTCATTGCCTAGAAAATAAATCCAAAAAGTATAAGGTGTGTTCTACTTTGTTAGGGAAAGGCTTTGACAAAGAATTACTCTATTAGGATAAAACTTTTGTGACACAAATTTGACGTTAGTAGATATGTATTCAAAAGCATTACTTATGACTATGCTTTTGTATCGCATAAATGATATCCTAATAGAGCAATTATTGGTCAAAGCTTTGTCCTAATGAAACAAAATACGCATTATATTTTTAATGGGGGCAGTAACATTTTAAGATCAATCAAAATAGCCATATAATTTAGTGCCAGAAAAGTATTTCCGGTAATAAAAATAAAATATACAAGTGACAATAAAATATACAAGTGACAAAGTTTCATTTATTCAATATACAAATTTTTTTTCTACTTTCCAAGTTTCCAGAACTCTCCCATGAGTACAATAGAGTGAAAAAATATGTAAGAGTATATGTGTGATTTAAAACTCAAAATGCACTTTTTACCAGTTGCCACACAAAATTGCCATGAACACATTTCTCCTAATCTCAATATAGTAAGAAAGAAAAAAACGTTGGGCTATTTGTGAAGTATTACATTTAACCAGATCTGGGGAAGTCGTCCACCCATATAGATTACCGCCATAGCCCAACCAAGGAAGCTTCCAATTCCACTTCCACTGCCATTGCTGACAGATGAATCTGCATGGTCATCCTATGAAAGAAGATTATAATGTATCAACCACTGTTGCAACTTGCAATTATGAAAAAAATCATACTAAATAGATGTACTGCTGGAGCTTACCGCCAACAGTAAAAGCCTTCTCCCGACAGGTATGACAATACCATTTGGCACCTCTTGATGGGTTGTTCCAACTAAAAAATGCAAAACACTCATACCCAAGAGAAGGGACATCCATGGTACCTTAATTCAATTTCGAAATGTTTTATTAATTCAAGCCTCATGAGATAACTAAGAGGGTATTGCAGGATTTAGCTTACCACTGAGAGAGAATTCTTTATTAAAGGAGATGCTGCATATTGTGCTGGGGAAAACTCACTGACCAAGGATTCCTTTTGGTCATCTATTTCTGGTGGAGAATTTGTTTGATGATAATTAGCCGACCATGTGCCTGACATTGGCACTGGGCTGCTTGAGAGAGATCTTGCTGACCTGTAAAATAAAACGGGCACCTCAATGCTTCTGAATTTCTACATATTTTTGCCATAATGCTTGATCAGCAAGCTATTGTCCTCCTATAAGTACCATATGGATGAAACAAAGCGATATTCTAAGTTCTTATCCAAGCAAACGAAGGATGGTAACTTCAAGGATGAAAATACGAGGAAACATTATGATTCAAGAAATTACGTGTAGTAGTATTCACTGAGGCTGCTTGGGCCATGTCGTTGCCGTACTATTTCTGTATTAACTGTAATTGGAGAACTTGTTGGAATAGGGACGGTTGCACCTAGGTGGCTATTGTTTCTGATTTCCCCAATAACCTTGGGCCCCAAAAGCTTTTCTCTCAATGAAGCATCAGCACGCTGATGCCTCTGAGGCTGCAAATAACAGAATATATATAATTAGGAGAGATGGAAAAAGTTAAAGCTGCCTGACAATTTCAAGTCAATCTGGCCTATGGTTGAATCAACCTTAAACAGATTCATCAAGGATAACATAATGATACAGAAGACATATGCCTAAAATGACTAAGCAATTAAAGGGTCGATGTATTGCCCAGAAAAGGAAAATAGTACACTTTACGAACACATGAAGGCAGTAGTATAATTTGCATATGATGGTTGAAGTGGCAATGCATCGCATGTTAAAATATCCATGTAGAAGCAGATGAGAACATAATAATATGCCACATCTGATGCAGTCACCTTGCTTGTTGCCCTGGCTTTTTTTGCTTTAAGACGGTGATATATGTGGCTATAGTATACTGTCTGTCCAGTGAGAATAACAGTTGTGATGGTGTATAGCTGCATTCCAAATGGCAAGTTTTTGGGTGTCAACAACCACAAGAAGAAATTAAACAGCAGAAATCCAGAAACCTGATTTGGCACCTTACCAGAGCCATGTAAAATTGTGTTGGCAGCTGCAATATATATAGAACAAGATAATTAGATAAGGATGATTTGAAGAGAGGTTTTAATATAACCTCATGGGTAAATTTCATCACATCAAAAACTGTTTAACATATCACACGATAAGCAAACAAAAATCAGATTTATCTGCCATAGATGGCATCCATAGATTTATGATCTATCTGGAACTCCTTTTCTGGGCTAGAATTGGAACACCTGTCTAAATGGCCACTTTCAATAGGGGTGTAATTATGCCTTATCTAGTGGTATTCACAAATTATACAACTCAGGTATAATAACTCCGTATCTCTAATTGGAGGAGGAAGGCATGATTTCAGAAGATTAGTGAATTGTTCCCCCCATGTTTGTAATGACCAACTCACTACACTGTTGAAAGGAAATACTAGATGTTCATCAAATCAGAGCAAAAACAAGTGGTCATAGGATATTATCATGGCAAACTACTGTTGTAGATGATTAAGAAGTTGTGGAAATAATCTTACCGTCTCAGGTTCCAAGAAGCAGCCAATAAGGTTAAAAAAGTCCCTGCGTAATGGCATAAGAGTACAAGAGAACATCAAGCACTGCATTGCACATAAAACTGTCAACTACAAATATTATATATTAGTAGTATAAGTCTCCTAGAAACATCAGGAACGTGATGAAATGGCTCACCCAACAATCCATGTCATTAGAAAAGCAAGGGAAAGGCCTTCTGTTGACTTATGCTTGTAATTAGTTATGATCTGTGGCACCTCAGCAACTCCCCAGCTGATGACGCTTAACAGTCCAAGCGTCAGTGCCATGCCATCCCTCGTGCTACAAAGGCAGTACTTCAGGTAGGTTTGAGCCCATTTTGCGCAATTCGCGGCCGACGGGCAGCTAGGGCGATGTGCTCCCGCTCCACTGAAGATGCCCATTTGTGCTCCAGACCTGAAGCAAAATTGCAAGGATAAAAGGGAGAGTGTGTCAAAAGGTTGTACAGCCGCTTGGTTGTTTAAGGCACTCTTAACTACTTTACATAAAGAGTAAACAGAAAATGTTTTTGGAGCCAAATTTTAGCTTCCTTCCTGAAAAGTAATCATATTGACATGTGAAAAACAAGTTTTAGTTTTTCCTTTCTCTCTTATTACTTATTTTATCAGCAAAAGACGGAAAGGATCAAATAGTCATACGTCTGAAAAGGCAGAAAGCCGGCATAAATTAGTGACCATCACTCTCGGATTAGAAATGCAATGATAGGCAATTAGTTAGTCATCACATAGTACTACTCTTACCAGCGAACAACCATAAAAACAGACAAAAATAAAGGAACCGTAAACACGGACAAAAATAAAGGGGAGAACCGAACAAATAATTTCCTATAGAAAGTGGGAAAGCAAAAGTAGGAAAGAATATAAAAGAGGATATCCTCATATTCATCAGAGATCATAAAGGGGCATGAAAGGAATAAGAATAAGAAAGAATATCCACCGTAAATAAATTATTAATAAGTTACAGCTTGTTTCCCGGCAATAAACATGGAGCATAATTAACTAGTGCACAAATCTGAACCAGAATTTGGAGATCCTTGTCGACAAGGACTTGGAATGTGCGAGTGGTCTCCAGGCTCTCTGGAGTGTTCTCCTCCACTGTCCACACAAACCAGCCCCAAAGAAAGAGCCGAACGACATGAACAAAAACCAATTATTATTTATTTTTAATGGCTCCCGTCCTACTCGGCTTTCCCCTCCGCCATTGTTGCAGCGGGGCTGCCTAAACATGGCAATTGCTCCGCCCATCCCGACGCGTATGATGGAAGACTAAGGTGGTGGCCAGAAGCCGCATCAACCATGAATGAACCAATTAACCGAGGCACATCGAGGAATCAATCACAAACTGCAATCCAGCAAACCGCCGCGTGTTCATTGTTTTAAAGAAACAAGGGGGGTAAATCGTCGAACACAAGGCGTGCGTGCGCGTGGTGGTCTAATGGCAATGCGTCAGCGTCGCCCCCCAAAGCGACAAGAACAACCTGAAATCAAATCGGAGGCGAGAGAAAACGTATACCAACCAACCTAGTACCAATCTCGCCGCCAAGAACGCACTCTACGTGCGTTCCCCGCCGAGGAAGAAACCAAACAAACGGAGCAGGGGAACACAAAAAAAAAAAAGAAAAAACTAAAATCTTGCGGTGAACACGGAGGGAGGGAGGGGAGAGGCAGGGGTTCGTACCGGAGAGAGAAAAATCTCTCACTGTATATATTTTTTTTAATTTCTCCCTTGGTCTGGAAGTGACGAGGTGGAGTTGGAGAAGAAGAGAGAAACAGAGAGGAAGCAGGTGAGGTGGTCTCTCGGTATCTCGATCTCGCTGCATATTTATCGCCTCGCCGCGGCAGCGATGCTGCCTCGGCCTTTGCGGGGTGTGGCCCCCCGGGCCCTCTATCTGCCGTTGCGAAGTTGTATGATACAACCAACCTACGACGAGTCTTTAAAAAAAACAACCCAAAGAATCTGGACGTATTTTTATTTTTTAATAATCGTCCAGATTCATAGTAGTAATTTATGGTTTTTTGACGAAGAAAATATAATGAACGACGATGTGAACGTTGTGGTGTATATGGGACTGGAGCTATGTGTAAGAGGAGGTGAATCATTAATATATTATTTATTGAGTATTAATTACTTTTAATTTTGAAAAAAATGATTTTTTAGGTTACGGATAAGGTATAACCGTAATAAACTTTATCCTAAGAGTTATGAGATGTATACGGTATACCAATCCTTTTGAGTTAAGGAAATTGTTAAGCTTTTAAGGAAATAATCTCTATGAATAGAAGGTGTCAGAGTTGTATTCGAAGGAGATAATGATATTAACCTATCGTAAAGGGTCCGTTGTCTACGAGTCATACTTAGATATTAAGGTGATTTGCGGTATAAATAGAGCCTCCTTGAGGGGTGTTGATCATCAAATCTCAACGCAAGACACCTACAATAGCAGAAGCAATTCAGAGAACTTGAAGCCAACTCGCTGATAGATCTCATCAAGGCACTCTTGACAAGGATATCGTCGGTAATTTCGGGATTCCGTTGTTTTATATTGTACTATGTGGTTTTCTTCATAATCCTATATAAACTGGATTATGGTTATTAACTTACGAGGAACTGGAACCAGTATAATCTTTGTCTTCTATATGCTTGATGTTGTATCGTGTAGATCCTCGTACCAACATACCCCAATACCCTTATAATACGGTCCACGGGTATCCCGTCGATATGATTAATATGTTTTTTAAAATAACTTTCTTATAGAAAGTTTATTAGAAAACGTATCATTTAATAGTTTGGGAAACATGTGTGAAAAGATACATATTTCTATGAGTAAATTGCGTCAGTAGTATACGAACTTGGCAGGTGGGTGCAATTTAGTGTAACAACTTGAAAAATATGCAGACCGGTACATGAACTTAGCAATCAAGTGCATTTTGGTCAAAACATTGTTACATACATATGATTCAGCCTATTTTGTTTGTTTTACTATAAGCATAACTACTAGATTATTGGTCATGAGTACAATTGAATATATTTGACTAGTAGAATCTCTTGGAAATTATGTTACAACAATTATTTTTATGCACTTAGTTTTAATGATCATTATATTTTTTTATTGAAATCGACAGGTTATTTTATTATTGCAAGCAAGCAACAACAATACATCTAGACCATTATTATTTGACAATCATTATAACTTATTATATTATTGGCAATGATGATTGCTTTTTTTATTACGTGACTTAAAAGGTGTGGTGTCTAATATTAATTTTTTAACTAGAATATACGTACTAGACAAGTTGTTGCATCTAAATAATCATTTTTTAAGTTGTTGTACTAGATCGTACGTACCTACCAAATTTATATACCATGGATGCAATTTAGTATATTTGTATGTTACCTTTACGGCTTTACTGTAGGCGTCATTCCTAGAACACATGGGATATAACGTGGCTGGACTGGACTCTCCCGTGTTCGGCAGGAGCCCATGCATTGCGCGCGTCTCCTAGTACTCGGTAGCTCTCCCTTCCCCGGGTAGAAATTAAACGGGAGAACTGACGGACGCCGACGTGGCATCGCCATCTACGGTCATGAGCCCACGAGGGCATGTAGAATGTAACTAATAACGGGCTCTTCATTATCATGCAAGTAAATTTGGTGACGCGGAAAAAAAAAGAGAAAATGAATGAGAAACATCGTTGTTACGTATGACAACGGCTTAGAATCGACTCTTAGTATTTATTAACGGAAAATTTATTGCATGTGAAAAAAGAAAAAGAATATAACAATAAATATTTAGTGCATTAATTGTTTAGAAATTTTATTGTCTCTTAGTCTCTAGTAATACTCCCTCCGTTTCGAAATATTTGACACCGTTGACTTTTTAGCACATGTTTGACCGTTCGTCTTATTCAAAAACTTTTATGAGATATGTAAAATTATATGCCTACATAAAAATATATTTAATAATAAATCAAATGATAGGAAAAGAATTAATAATTATTTAAATTTTTTAAATAAGACGAACAGTCAAACATGTTTAAAAAAGTGCGTTAAATATTTCAAAATGGATGGAGTATTAATTAATATAGAGAACTCATGTTACACCCTGAGCCAGCCAGCCGCGATCGATGCCGTGCGCTGCGCAGGCGGTGTCACCGTGTCCGCACGCATGCAGAGGCATTTGCGTCGTCGTGTCGCGGTGGAGGGAAACGATCGACGAGCGAGTGAACAACCGGCACAATTCCATGCCCGGCCCGCACAACTGTTGAGGAGTCATGGGGCTAGCTAACAGCTCAAGCTCACCTCCTGCTCGTACTTCCTCCGTCCCAATATACAATATCTAATGTATGATTTAACTATTTAGATTTATATTACTAATATATGTTACATCTTATATTATATATATTCAGAGTAAAGTCCATCACCGATCTCTAAATTTGTACAGCTGTGTCGTCCCGGTCCCTAAACTCGCAAATCGACCGTTCAGATTCTCAAACTTGTTGGACTGTATCATCTCGGTCTCTAAACTTGCAGATCACTCGTTTAGATTCTCTAACTTGTTCAGTTGTGTCATCCCAGTCTCTAAACTTGGATTTGAATATCATCTGGGTCAAATAGGACGATCTTAAGACTTTATATTTAAAAATAATTCATAGTTTTTTCATGTGAGCTCTAATAAAGACAAACTTTATATCAAACTTGTAGCCCTCGACGCGATCTACAACTTTGTAGTTGAATTTTTTTTTATTTTAAGTAATTTTTTGTCCCAAAATGTAATTTTAAAATTAAAATTTCAAAATCTATAAACATGCAACAATATTTTGGGACCCTAAACAGTTTTAATTCAAAAACTTTTCAACTACAAAGTTGTAGGTCGCGTCGAGGGCTACAATTTTAATATAAAATTTGTCTTCATGAGAGTTCACATGAAATAGTTATGAATTATTTTTTGATATAAAGTTTTTTGACACAACTGAACAAGTTGGAGGACCTAAACGAGTGATCTGCAAGTTTAGGGATTGGGATGACACAGTCAAATAAGTTTGAGGACCTAAACGGTTGATTTGCGAGTTTGGGGATCGGGATGACACAGCGCTACAAGTTTAGGGACCGGTGATAGATTTTACTCTTTATATTGAAATGAAGGGAGTAGCAAAGTTCAAACTTTCAGAACCATTGACTTCGGAACAAGTTAGATGATAGTAGCTTCGAAATCTTTGCCTTCCACTCTTCTTCTATACATACTCTCTCCGTTCCAAAAAAAAAACACTCAACCTAGTATTGGGTCTGATGTTTTTCTAGTAAAACGAATCTGGACATTGTTGTACTAGAAAATCTCCCATCCAATACTAGGTAGAATTTTTTGGGACGGAGGGAGTAGAAGAAGATGAACATTGAACAATATATGTTTTTAAGGTTGTGTTCTTAAGTCGATGTTTCCAACTTCACTAAATGGTACATTTAGAAAAATATATTAGTTTCTTTAAAATATCATATTAATCTAACTTTTATTTTTAATTAGTACTTAATAGGGCCAATGGACGTTTCATTTTACATGCCATAGAGGAAGGGTTTCCAATGCAACACGTACTCTCGAATGCACTCTAAAGCAACACACACGCTTTTAAAGCCACTAGCAAAATCTTCACCAACCAATCAAGTGAGCCTAATGTGGCCGCTACGGCACTGCCCAAGGTTTACAATCGTATTATTGAAAAAAAAAACGCATCAGCTATATCTCTAATTTTCTAAAAAGAAACACTAAAATCATGCTTTTTTTTACTTGACTGGAAACCGAGTATTTTTGTGTTATCGAGCCAGCTCAATAAGTCCGACCTGCAGTAACATTCAGTGATACCAACTTAGCCTTAATAGTAGGGTTCACAATTCTGACGAAAACCAGTCGAATTTCGCAAAATTTCGAGGTTTCGACGCGGCTCGAAAGTAGAAGCCGTCTGAGATTTCGTTGAGATTCATCCAAATTCAAAATTGAATTGATAAAAAAAAGGAAAAAATCAAATAAAATCTTATATAAGGTATGATATTCATAGAACCTATTGGGATATAAATTTTTGAAAAAAAAATGATGTATTCTGTGTATTTAAATGAAATTTACAGTAGGGAAGAAAAGAATAATGAATTAAAAAAAGGAAAAAAAATAGTTTACCTCTTTTTCTTATTACCGATTGAAATTTTGATGATTTCGCTTGGAATTTCGCCAAAGCGGACCAGTTTTCCCGAGCTTATCGGTAAACTCAGGGAATTTGTAGTTAATTTTTGGTTTGTGAAATTTGTTCGGAATCTACCGGATGTGGCGAAAACCGTCATTCTGCCAGAGCTTGAAACGGAAGGCTATCTCAGAATTGTAAGCCCTGCTTGATAGAGTACAAGCTGTAATAAGCTGGCATACCTTATAAATTATGGTAGAGAAATGTGACAAAAAAAAGTTGGCCGAGCCTAAAGATGAACCATCCATCCAACACTAGCTACTCCCTCTATTTCATATTATAAGTCAATTTGACTTTTTTTCTAGTTAATCCTCTTTTAGGTTTGATTAAGTTTATAGAAAAAAATAGCAACATCTACAACACCAAATTAGTTTCATTAAATATAGCATTGAATATATTTTGATAACATATTGTTTGTTTGAGTTAGAAATATTGCTACATTATTATATAAGTTACCGATGTCACCGCTAAGAGCGTACATTCCCCTAAAACTAAACAGATGGAGCAGGGGAAAGGGAAAAGAAATCATGTGATGAACGCGAAGAAGGGGAAGATCCGAAGAGGGGATCGTACCGATGACACTACTTGCTTCTCTCTTTCCTTGGTCTGGCAG